ATGCAGTTCAGCTCCTTGGTTTCTCCCTTTTCAGTGATCACTGTTATGTACTGCCTATTGTCCAGTTTCTGAAAACACTGGTCTTATATATTTTGCTTGTTTTTTCAGTTGTTTAAGATGGGAGGGTAAATCTTTTCCCTTTCATTCTATTTTAGCCAGAAGATAAGTCCTGCTTGTTTTTTCCCCACTGTGAATATTTTTATCTAGACTTTAATTTTAAATGTATTTTTTTAATGTTGGACATGCTTTTACTAACTAGAAAATAATAAATAAGACAGTACAAAACATGGCAAGAATCTGGGACTAGAATTCTAGAGAACTGAACTATAGATCCATTTGGTCTTTCAAGTGATTCCATGACTGCATTACCCTGGGTCTGAGGACATTTGAAAATAAAAAGTGTGCACAAAACAATTTTTTTGGTTCCACACAACTCTATCATTTCATGATGATACAAAACTCAAAACACTTCGAGAAGATTTTAACTCATTTTCAGAGGAAAGAGGCTGCAGGAGTGGTACCAGATTTCGAAAGAGTGGAGACAGCCACCAACTGAAGTGCATGGAGAAGAAACCATGATGACTAGTGAATGAGGCATGTTCTGGAATTGGAGGCCCCAGAAACAGTGGGGAAAAAACAGGATTTGAGGAACTGCTGAGGGAAATGGGACACAGGGTTGGCTGAACAGAAGGGGGAATTGAAAATCTGCACATTGAATATTTATTAGGTTTAGCAACCTAAAGAGTGCCAACCAGGGAAAAGTAAAATTGCAGACAGCCAGAAACATCTCTAAATAAACTCTAGCAGAAGGACCAAATATTTCCATGGGCATTTATGTGGCCGTTAAACATATCATAATAGTAATAACAACTTAACTTTTGTGGAAACCCACAGAAATTGGTGTTTACCGGGGAAAAACAACAAATAAATTGTTCATGATTTTCCTAGGTTGCACTCTAAGAGCTACAGAATGCTATATTTATTTAGAAGATGCTCTTACTGATAAATTGTGGTCGGTTCCAGAGGAATCTTATCAATCAGCTATTTGAAACCTCAGATAACAACCTGAAGATACAAAGTGAAATCTTTTGCCAAGAGTCATGAAACTAATTAGTGTTCAGTATGATATTGGAACCCAAGCAATAGGATAGTTGCTAGCCTCTCAATTACACCAAGCTGCTTTGGTGAGCTTTAAGTCACATTTTTCACCAGAATCTTCTTTTTATGTGTTATCTTTTTGAACACATTATTAGACAGTTTTGCTCTGTGATGATAATACAAAACCTGCTTGCTGACTTTTGGCCAAGGACATAACTTTCTCCTCATTGTTAGGGTTATTTAACAAATAGCAGTAGCTGATCAAAGTATAATGGAACATGAGACTCACTCTTGAATGTTGCTTTTTCACCTTCATTAAAAGGATTGAGCTCATGAATGAAAAATGCAAGCAAAGAACAGGGTAAGAAAATAAAGCTTAGCACTGAAGCAGGCAAGGGCGCCAACAAGAAGGCAACACAAACCAAGGATGAAGAGACAAATTCATGATCTTGATTGTTTTCCTTTAAGAAAATTTAATGATTCATTAAACCAGGGTGATATTTTTGGCACTCAAGGAAACTCTTACATGCCATTTTCTAAAAAATTGTAATTATCCATACTGGCTAGGAAGCATATTCATCTATTCCTATACTCAGAATTTGCACCCTGTTTCTCTCATATAATTTATATTTGGCTACAATAAGAATGTTCATTAAAACTGTGTCACTGATGTTATCAGTGAAGTGGTTAACAATCTTGGAATTTAAGTGGCTGTAATTACATTTCTAGGTTAACGGCACTGTTACCTATCCCACCTCTGGGTCTGTGATCTCCATGAGGCAAGATGAATTAGCATTTCATTAAAAAAAACCCAACTTCATGATTGTAGACATAATAGTTCTAGTAAGGGAAATAAACTATATTCTAGAGAAATCGGCAGAAATTCATAGGCCCTTAAGCCTTCCAGAGTTAACTAATTCCTGTTGCTTCAGGCTTCAATAATTGTACTGAACTGCAATTGATTTGAATTCCTTCTAAATTCTTAGATTTGGGAGGAGAACCTATTCTTACTTTGCTACTGGAAAGGAAATGGGAAACAGGAAATCATCCAGCCGTTTGGAAGAGTATGAGAATGGAGGGAAGGTCCCTGTATTTGCTCCGCTCCCTCTGAAGAGTACACAGAGGGGCCATGACGGCAGGTGAAGCGCTGCTCCATTTCATCCAGAGACCTGAGAGCTCTCGCCGCTCTGTTCCCTTCGGGGGCCATGTTCCTCTGCTTAAAAGAATATTGCCTGCTCCACAAGCTAATGATTTGTTTGGAGGATGTAAGTCTCAGAGGTGAAGGTAACCACGCAGCTTTTATGATGTATCTTTCAAATCTTTGATCTGCTTCTTTCTAAATACATGGGACCCCTCTGTAGCAAGATTAAAGATGCCTTTCCTGACAAGTAAGGCAAAGTTTGAAAACCTAAAAGCTGCTCAGACCTCCAAATAATATTTCTGTATTTATTTTGCCAACATCATACTTGGTGCTGTCCTGCATTCATGTGATAATTACATGGTAATCAAAATGCAGGATCGGATCATAGGGTTTTTTTCCCCTCATGTTTTCTAAGGAGCTGGGGGACTATGAATCTTGTTTTAAAAAGTGGCTAGTGCAAACTAGTTTATGGCTAGAACATATATACTCCTCTTGAATTCTATTTAATTTGACAAATATTTACTTGTTAGCAAGCGGGTGTTAGACATTGTGCCTTTTTTATAAGGAATACCAAGAATCAGAATCTGTTTGCAAGAGACTCATACTCTCCATGGGAAGATAATGCAATAAAAGAAATGGCCATGAAAGGATGCAAAATATGACCTATAAAAGTGTTCGGAGAGAAATGAATAGCATTCAGTGTGCGACAGAGAACATTCAAGTGAGAGGGGAATCAGGGAAGAGTTCAGCATTGGAGGACGCTGAGGGACCTGTGAGATTTCTCTGGGTAGCGTTGGAGCTGGAAATAAGGTGTGGGGGGAGGAAGTGGTAGCAGGGAGAAGAGGAAAGAGGTCAAAGAGGTTGAGAAGCTTGTACTTAATTTGTTGGCAGTAGGGAGCCAATGAGGGTTATTAAGCAGAGCAAAGATAGGATAATAAAAGTTGTGGTATAAGAAATATTTTGGAAACATTTTAGAGTAGACTTTAGTGTATTTTGAGCTAAAAATATGGTTATATAAACAAGCAAGTGTGTTTGATAATGTCCTACAGGTTTTATTTCCATATAGAACGGTGACCACAAAAACGGTGTGAGAATTAACTTATTGCTTTTGAACCTGAAAGATTATTATTTCTCACTTTCATAATGTCGTTATGAGGCAGTTCATCCATGTATGATTTCTAACCTCGATCAAATGAATCAGCAACAGGGTGTGCTTTCATAGCATTCTGGAGAATTTGATCTTCTCCACCATATACATAACTGAATTTTTATTGTCAGAATAGTATTCTCAAATGTGTTTTTTGTTCTATTCCTAAGTCCTTTAGAACATAACACATCCCTACAAAAATATGGAGATAAAATGTAAAAAGAATAGAAAAATAGTTTTATAGAGTAAAGAAAAATAAAGAAGATTTTAAAACTCAAGATTGTAGCAAACAGACACATGGCCCTGATCAGAAGCCAGGTTCGTATGTTTTTTACATGATTATCATGTGATGGCTAAAGTTCGTCCCAGATAAATCTGAAAACGTGAGCAATTCAACTTACTCTCTACCAAGCCTTTTATCAAAGCAAGTATTCTAGTGTGGACCATATTTCCTCTACTTTATCTCCTGGGCAGAAAAGTGAGAAGCTAAAGGAAAGATAACTCAAAACTACAGAACAAACTCCCAAATATAGGACAAAGAAACATTCTGAAGTAAGCAAAATATTATCCAAAAATGATTAGCTCATAGTTAACCATAAATATTTGGGGGCCACTTGAGCACATTGAAATTCAGCAAGCCATGTGTTTTTAAAGATGTCATCTTATTTTTCTTATTGTACATATATTTCAAATGAGACCCTTCTTAATTTTAAAACTAGAAAACAGACAGTAGTGAGTGGTATTCCGCTCATGTAAAAAATCAATAAACTTCCTTTGTATTTAATTTACTATTATTTACTATTTATTCTACAGAGGAAATAAATACCAAAAGAGATTGTTTTATCTAAGGCAAAAAAAGTTTCAGTTAGGAGTAGCTTCTTCAAATTACAAAATTTTGCCCAATGGGTCCATTTGAGTTATCCCAAAACATTTCACTTTAAAAGTTTGATTTGCAAACAAATAATTTTATAACCCAAAGTCTGTCACAGGCCATACTGTTTAAATTTTTTTTTAATTCCTAATCTAAAAGTCTTAAGTTGAAACAAAAAACTGATCCTCACCTACCTAGTTAATTGAGGATTTTGACTAATTATCACAAAAAAAATGTATATAGGAAAACTGTAGCATTGAACAAAATCACTATCAAATATTATCTAAGTTAATATTCAAATTTGAATAAAAAATAGGAAAATCTGCTACTATCAGAAAAGTAAGAGTATAATGCAAGTTTGCATCTACGAACACTTGCTCTGGTCAGCAAGGTACAATACTGAACATTTTTTTAGATCAAACATTCCATATTCCTTACAGCTGATCAGTACTTACTGTTGAATACTGAAGACAACTGGAATAAAAAACACCATGAGAATGGTGACTTATCAAGTTGAAGGCATCGCTACCACAATTTTATGCTTTCCTTTTAAGGAAACTGAAGGTAGGATATAGCACAAAAGTACATTTTATCTTCACGTAGTAATGAATAAATAAAATGAAAATTACCCATGCAATTAAAACACCAATGTTTGAATAAACCTTTGCAATGAAAATGAGTTAGCCATTAAGAATCATACAAAAGCTAAAGTGTTTTTTCAAAAAAAGAAAACAATGCCTTACCCACAACAGGATCAGGAGCGATGTCGCTTCTGCCCTCCTTCCACGACAGCAGGTGGTCGAGGCCGGGGAGGTCTGCAGACTCCAGGTAGCTGTTCACTGTCAGCATCATCTGATGGGCTTTTGCTATTCCGTAATGCACTTTTGTTTCATCCATCAGAAGGATGTTGGCTAGCTCTGCTGCTGTGTCAAAAGCTTGCTGAAAGTACTCAGAAGCTTTACTGTAATGTCCCTATAAATATAAAAGATTTTTTTCTTAATTTATTTTTCCCATTCCACATATCTTCCCACCTCAGCAAGCACCGCACTGTTCCTTCAACAGGTGTAGCAGTTCATCTTCAAGAAGGAAGCAACAGCGAACAGGTTTCTACTAGAACAAGGTTCTTTTTAGACACTGTGATAGCTACCTTGCGTCCCTGAAGTTCATTCACCAAGAAAGCTGCTTCTATCGGGTTGAACTGTATGAAACTTAAGTTTGTTGGATTAAAAAAATGTTCAAATACTAGCAGTTTTTCATATGGTTTAACCTAATATTTGATAGCAAGAAGTTTGGGAAAAGATTCACACTGCTTTGGATGGAATTTTCCAATGAAAATTGGAAAATTTGTATTTGTAGCATTGAATTTCTTACTTGTAGCATTGAATTTACCTAATGAAATATTTTTAAGCAGCTTTAGTAATCAGTCACAGTAAGAGATCACTTTCAGCCAACCTGTTCAATCAAGCATCAATGAAAATAGATGTATATGCCTGATGATTTAGTTTTTAGTCCCATTTTCCCATGGCCATTCTTGACTGAGAATGGATTTTAAAAATAGGGTCTTGACAGAAGCAACACAACTCAAATGGTTATTTAAACTATCTCTTTTCCAAGTTCTTTGCAGCACTTTAAGTTACAACTATAAAGATAATGGTTTCATTCAATCAAATTAATTTCAAAATCTACTTCCTTTTTGAAAAAAAAAAAAGGGCAAATAATTCTGAAGTCACCAAAATCAATTACATGGCTCATAAAAGACTGTAGCGGTTAAGAGTATGGGTTTGAATACCATAGCCACCTGGAGGTTTGGAGACCTGGGGTAGGTTACTTCAGCTCTCAGCCTCTGGGAAAAGGGAATCGCATGATACCATGTAAGGGTGGGGAGAATAATAATAGCTACCACTTACACAGGTGGCATTTTCTCCTGCTGCCAGACTCTATTCTAAGTGTTTTTTTATATATATTCACTCAATGCTCACAACCATCTTATGAGGTGGGGAAACTGAGGTGTTTAAAAAGTACTGACTTGTCCCAGGCCACAGGTTTTGTAAGTGAAAAAGCTGGGCTTTTAACCAAAGTCTGGTCTCAGAGTTGGCGCTTTTAATCATTACATAAATAGCCTCTTGAAAAAGATTAAGACAATGAGTATAAACATAATTTGAGATATAACTACCCTCAAAAAGGATAGATCTCACTTGTTACCCAAAGAGCAGTTTTAACTGGAGAAACAAGCCTCTTTTATACCGTTCATAAAGGAGAATCTGGGCAATAAAAGATCAAGACAGGAGAAATTAAATCAAGTCTGTCATGGCCAATGCATTGAGAGACTTTTAGACATTTTTTTCTTCTTTCTTGCTTCTTTCACATAACCAATCTGTTGCTAGAGTGACGTATTTCCTTTGGAATTACTCTTGGGACTGTCCTTTTTTCCCCTTGCTGAAAGTATTCTGCGAGGGACCTAGCAAGGGCTTCACAGCTGGATAGTAAAACAAGAATTTGGAGTAAGAGAGGTGCATGTCAGTGTCAACAGATACGAGCCATCTGTTATGATGCAGTTCCTTTGAATTTAAATATTTTAATTGCTCTTCAAATAGGAAATTACCAAGGCCCTGCATTGGCTGTGAATATGGGAATCAGTGTCAGCAGCTCGTGGTGACTGAGCCCAACATGGCACTCAGGTCCAGGAAGCAAAGGGAGAAAGAGGCGCATCTCTTCCCAGTCACTTTCCTGTGGGTCCGTCAGGTCCAGCGAACCAGAGGCCATTCTGCTAACAGGTTAGGGGGAAGTGCGGATCGCGTGGGAGGATAGTGTGAAAGCTATGATTTCCCCCCTGAGCAAGAAGCACAGACACTCACTTTTTTGTTGTAGATGTCCCCGAGCATTGTACTTGCTTTCACAACATCCAGGCTTCGAAAATTGTTTCTTGCAATTTTCACAACCTCTTTCAAGTATTTAATTGCTTCTGTCATATTTCTTTGGCTAGAATAAATAAAATAGGAAACTATTGGAGTATCATTTCACTTAATGTCACAGTGAAGATAGTGTGTTTCTTTGCTTTAGAAAGTTGAAAATGGTTATCAGGATAATGAAGGTGAAAACATTTGAAAATATTAACGATCAAAAAATATTGGTTTGATTTTGTTGGCATATATAGTATGTTAAAATTTAAACCTTCAAACCCTCATGATAGCTGGTGGAAATGTACTGGTTTGGAAAATGACTTGTCGGTTCCTCAGAAACTTTAACACAGAGTTATCACCTGACCCGGCCACTCCACTTCTCCGTATATGCCCAAGAGAAATGAAGATGTGTGCACACAAAAACTTGTACATCGATGTTCACAGCAACACTGCTCTTTGTAGTCAGGAAGTGGAAGCAACCCAAATGACTATCAACTGATGAACAGATAAGCAAAATGTGGTACATATGCATACAATGAAATATTATTTAGCCACAGAAAGAAATTAAATACTGATACATGCTATAACATGAATAAACCTTAAAAACATGCTAAATTAAAGAAGCCAGTCACAAATAACCACATATCATATAATTTTACTTACATGCAATGTCCAGAACAGACAAATCCCTAGAGATAGGAAGTAGCTTAGTGATTACCAGAGGCTGGGGCGAGGTGGGCATGGGAGTGCCTGCTAAGGGGTATGAGGTGTCTTTTCAGGGTGATGAAAATGATCTTAAGTTAAATTGTGGTAATAGGTTCACAACTCTGTGAATAGGCTGAAAACAAATGAACTATAGCCTTTTGAAAGGGTGAATTATATGGTATATCAATCATACCTTAATAAAGCCATTACTTTTTAAGTAAAACATTTTGAAAGTTTATGAAAGGTGAATGGTAGTTTGTTTTTGGAAGTGTCCTTCAGCAGTGAAGTCCCAGGCATCACTGATGAACCCATACAAGTGTTATATATACTGGCAAAAGGCTCAGAAAGACATCATTTCTAGCAGAGTGCTTGCTGCGCACTAGGCATTGGCATCCACGGTCCAGCAGGGGGAATGCCAGTTAGTGAGGTTGGTAGGGTATGTGAATGTCTTACACATGATGGGCAGCAATTTGAACATTTCACCTAAAATGTCACATGGTATGCTTCAGTGTGGTATTGTTATGTTACACAATTACAGTCTTATGATTTTTTAATAAAACAGGACGTTATTTGTGCCAGATCCAGTATTTTTGAATTAAAAAAGGTAAAGGTTTGAGAGGGAAAACACTGATACAGTTCACACACAAGTCAGGCACCCAGATGAATCCTGAGACTCCCAGTCACTGGATGATTAAAGTTCCTGAGTATAAACTCCTATCTCCCGGATACTTTAGTAACATCAAAAAACCTTTGAGAGACTCAAATGCTCCAGAATCCTACTTTCTCAGGAATATTGTTCCTGCTTTTAAGGAGTCTGTCAATTTGGAGAGATAAGTATATAAATTCACAATGTGGGATTAATTGTGATGGGTTCTCTGAACTATACGTAGTGCTTGGAAACTTGGAGCACATCCTTTCACTATTCTCCCCACAAGTCTAGAGTTTGTAGCATAAATTTGATCTTAAGAGACGGCCAAAGGATTTGGAGCCAAATCGAGGGAACACAATGGTGAATTCAAAGCACCTTGATACATCTGAAAAACTGTAGTATGCGTTGTGGGAGGTGTGTTTGAATTTTGAGCTGCATCAAATGCTGGGTGTGCTTTTAGATTCTCAGGCTCCTTGCAGCACTCCTGCTCCTCTTTCTCTTGTGCCCCGACCCAGGTCTTCTTTTTTTAAAATATATTTTATTGATTATGACATTACAGTTGTTCTATTTCCCCCCTTCATTCCCCTCCACCCTGCACACCCCCTCCCCCACCATCCCCCCCTTTAGTTTATGAACACGTGTCTCAAGTTCTTTAGATTCTATATTTCTCATATTATTCTTGCCCTCCCCCTATCTATTTTCTACCTACCGTCTATGCTACTTAGTCTCTGTACCTTCTCTCCCCTTCTCCTCCTCCCACTCCCCTGTTGCTAACCCTCCATGTGATCTTCATTTCTATGGTTCTGCTCCTGATCTAGCTGTCCTCCTAGTTTGCTTTTGTTTTAGGTGTGGTTGTTAAAACTGAGTTTGCTATCCTTTCACTGTTCATCTTTTTTATCTTCTTTTTCTTAGGTAAGTCCCTTTAACATTTCATATAATAAGGGCTTGGTGATGATGAACTCCTTGAACTTGACCTTATCTGAGAAGCACTTTATCTGTCCTTCCATTCTAAATGAAAGCTTTGCTGGATAGAGCACTTGACCCAGGTCTTCAACACACCGATTGGGAGTCCCTGCTCTTCACCATCCATCTTGCTCCCAATGTTTCTCTCTCTCCAGTGTCCAGAGCTTTGAGCAACCTCTGTTTTCTCATTTCTTTCATATCTTCATCTCTCCAGGTATCTCACTGGCATTGGGGTCTCTGCCCACTGACAGTTGGTTCATTCCAGGTTTCTGTCCATATCCATCCTCTCCCTTCCACTAAATGCTTACCATGGGCAATTTTGTATACTACTATGGTGTGCCCTAACCGTAGGGCACATGTATGGTATGCACATGTATGGCAAATCTATATTTCTAGCCCCAATTTTCCCTCTGTATTATACATCCATATTTCTAATTGCCCGGACTTACTAAGCATGCAAAAGAAGATAGTTCCCTCCAAGTGATTATCTTCAAAGATGTCACCTAATGATGAAGCTGATGGCACTAGGAAGATTCCCTCTATAGGAAATATCTTCATAGTGTTGTGTTATAACAAAGCATTCACAAATAATTTAATCAACTTCATTCCAAAAATGGGGTTATCGCTAGAGGTTGTGTTGTTGTTTTTTCCTAAATGTGACTCTAAATGCATTGGCTGTTTGCAAAAATCAAGCCCACCTCTCAGACGATGATGTCCCTCTATAGGCGTCATTGAGAAAAAGATGCCACAAGATCAGAAAGCATTTCAAAGCAGTGCTCATTTTCAACAGGTGGTGGCAGGATCAGGGATATCAGCTTGCATAGCCACTCAAGACGTGAGGAGTACAACATTCATTTTCACAGATGAGCTCTGGTATGTTTGTAAAAAAGGTACATTGCTTTGATCTAGGCTTGAATCCCAGCTTGGCCTTTTCACTGAATAACTTTGAACACATTTTCACTCTTCCTCAGCTTTAGTTTTCTCATTTTAAAAATGGCCACAAAGTGTTGTGAGATGAAAAATTACATACATGTACAGCCTGATCCCTAGTAGCAATTCATTACATGACAGCCAGTGTCACTATTACCTCTGAGTGAACTGAAAAGCTATCATGCCTACAGCTCTCTATTTGATAGAATCTACCACCAGCTGAGAAGAAAAGTCAAATGAGCTAAGCAATGCTTTTTAAAATCTTTCATAAGGCAACGAATGACACACCGTGATTTGCACGGGCACTCTCCGAGACAGAGAGGCAAATCGAGTCCTGGTGTGTATTTTCTAGGGGGGGAGGCAGCGTCCAAGACCTAACACTTTTTGTTTACTTGAGTAGCAGGCACTATCAAATGCATTTCCTTCTTCCTTTCTGATTGGTTAAAGGAATGGTCTACACATCAGAAATAGAATGGAATTTCACATTCCCAAAGTTAATGTTGCCTTTTATGATTCTGTTCTCACTTTTTCATAACCAAATTATGAATAATCTTCTTCCACATTTAGGCATAGCTAAACTGTCCAAAAAAAAGTTGTGAATTGTTTGAGGAATATTTCAAATGCAGACATGGAATAAAATACCATAAGGGTGTGCTCGCTACTTTAATTTAAATATTTGCTTTGTGCAATAACTAAAAATGGTACTGAGAGCTCCAGGGTGTACAAATATTAATTAAAAAACACACTTACTTAGGGTTTTTAGCAAATTTGTAAGTTCCTAGGACTGAAATTTTTTATCAAATTGATGTTAACTCTTCAAGCTCTCTCTTGGATTGTAGTGTTTAAAAAATGATAACATAAGAAAAAAGTAGAGACCTCTTTTGCATATCACTTTAAAAGCTTAGGGAAAAAAGTATTATTTTCACTTAGCTAAGATGGGCTCACTGAAGCTTATTTATGTTTGTGTTGCTAAAAGCTGATATATTTTTGATGGAAGTACATTTTGGATTAAGTCTGGCCTGCTGAGGATTGTTAAACCACCATATTAAAAAAAAAAGAAGCCCCCCCACAAACAAACAAAACAAAAAACAAGTTGAGTGAATAAGAAATACAAAATAGTATAAATAAAACCATTGTTGGGTGAGTAGAGTGGTTTTTCCCCCAAAGGATCAACAGATCTCCCAAACATCTAACAGTATCTGGAACTTGTTTTAACAAATAATGGTACAGAAAAGGTCTGTCTATTGTAAATTCTCTGCTCCACTCAAAAAATGCACAGTTCTCCAGCCAGCAAAGCTGTTAATATAGCATCTGAAATCTAAACATTATGTCTCTTAAAGGACTTCTAAATTTAAAAGTTATCCATAGATTTAGAAGCTAGTCTTTCTTTAGAAGGGAAAGGATTAAATCTTTTTCTCACAGAGAAGCTCCAGATCATCTGAATGGGTTAAAGGACAAGGTTAAAGTGCTAGACAAACATTAATTCCAGCTTTCTATATGCAGTGCACAGGTGCAACTTGAGCAGCATATTATATGGTACAATCATTAAATCCATTCAGCCGGACCTCAGAGAGTTAAAAACATATATATTCTGAGGAACAGGACTCCTCGGTCCGAAGAATGAGAATGAAACAGTGCAGAATATTTGTGTATCAAGGTGATTCCAGTTGCCAACTGGGAAAACGGGACTGTTAACACCCACCTCCCCTGACAACTGTCCAATTATGTACATCACACTTGGCCTACTGTTTGCAGTAGAAGTAATCAATAAAGGATGTGGTTGAGTGAACATAGATTTTGGCTGAACCAATGCATGAAAACTTAATCATTTACTCAGAGAGAAGAAATCAAATAGAGCAGAGATGGAGCAGCCACTGAGGGGTTTGTTGATTGTGCCACCGTTTGTGGGCCACGAGTGACAATAATAAGGCAAATGGAAGCAGTGACAGGAGAAAATGTGAAATGCTGTTTTTAATTTCATGAATTAATAGAAATGTTTTGATGGATTTTGGGGGGTCATTTTTAGGAGATTTTGCATCAAAGCCTGGATGTTCCACTTTAAAGAATGTATGAAAATTACTAGGGCATGTCATTTCTCTCAAGCAAGAAGAAATTAATTTTCAGCTATAACAGAAAGGTAATTTTCACAGTTGAAACTTTGTACTGATTGATTTGAAATGTCCACTGTGGAAAGTTTTCCAAGAAAGAACCCGAGTTTACAAGAAAATTTATAATTGGTATGGGATAAAACCAAGCTAATTGAAAACAAGGTGTCTCAAACAACTCTTGCTTTTGTAATATAATTTTCCCCTATAAAAGCCATCTTATTTATGTTGAGGAATGTGCCATATTGGTAAATGAGTTATTTCAGTGGAAAGGATACAAAAAACACTGTAAGAAAAACTGAGGTTATTTCCTCCCCTCTCTACGCTTACTCAAATTATCTGTCTATATATAATAAAAATACTGACTTGGTATTTCTCAACTCACTTTCTCTTTGTTTTAGGGACTATAGCTCTGGCTTTCATTGCTGTGTCATGGGCTATTGTTATTATTTTAGAATATCGACCCTTTTTACACTAGCATTCCAAGGAGAAAAAAATAGTAAATGCTTATTTTCTGTTGCACTGCTTAGTATTATTCAGAGCAATAGCAAAAATAAAAACCCCGTTCACCATTAAAACCTTCATCGATAACTCTGATACCAGGGACTATTCTAGTTCCACCAAATGAGCGACCCTGTATTACCGAGTCCTCAGTCTTGAGGGAATGTGCTGTGTTTTTCAACTGAAGCCACAGTATAAATTCTTACAACCATTTTAGAAGCTTCCAGCCTTAAAGCCTATTCGCCTTTCATGCATGTTCAGCTGATGGCCTCACACACACACTTATCCGAGACATGGCTATCCTCTTTCATTTCCTTTAAAGAGATAAAATATGTTTATAGGGATAGGGCTTACCATTAGTGAAACCTGTGCCATTGCACAGGTTGAGAAAGAGAGATTTAGAGGTGATGCTAAGCTTCTTATGCAGCTTGATTTATTTCCCAACTGCCACCACAGTTTCCTGTGTTTTGTCTGTGCTCCATTTCTCCTAATCCGAGGACAGTTTAGGACTATGACAGGGATGTACCTATGTGCGCACGTGTGTGTGAGTGTGTGCATGTGTCAGAAAACACCAAGCCCTCAAAGCAAGATTTTTTTTAATGACCACAAAATTCATATCAAAGCATTTCTAGTAAGTAGTGGAATTGATTTAATAAGGCTTCTTAGATAGCTTGCGTGCTGTTGTCATCCTGTGAAGAAGTTTTGGTTTTGAAACCTCTGTCCACCTCTTGAGTTATTTTGCACAAATGGTGAGAGCACATGCCAAGGCGCACACTCCCCTGTGTGCTTGTCCATCACCCCAGCAAGGACTGGGAGGCCGGCCGTGGCCTCCGAACACTTTCCTCTAAGACCTCGGCAGCAGCAGCTCCTGCCTTCTTGTGCACTGCCCCACATCATGAAGTTAAAACTCCATGTCTACCACAGAAGTCATTGATGGCTTCATTTGTAATTTAGTAGATGGGAATTCTTATAAGTGGACTTTGTTTCCTTTGGTACAAAAGTGAAATAGGGATAAACCTCCTTGCCTGTTACCTGTCAGCCCCAACGCGTGCTGCCAGACTGTTGGGGATGTTGGAAGTGTCCCTGCGACCACCCAACACACACCCTACTTCATGACATGTCAAAGACAGCTGAGTCCTTTTCCACACCTAAACACCAAGTAACGCGTAAGCAGCCAAATAAAAAACATTAGATTTTCTCTTGTTATTATTGCCAATATTTACCAGTAACTGTTGAACCCTACCTTAACATTTACTGCAGACACCAGGAATTCAAGTCCTGAAGTGGAGACACTAAGATTTTCCAGATGAGACACCAGGTTAACAGGTGAGAATTTGTTTAAGGGAACTGTTTCAAAAACTGTATTTTTGTAACCAAAGGGTCATTCCAATGCTTTTCTGGTCCTGAGATATAGTTAAGTGCTTGATATGTTTTCCAAAGGAAAACATCTTTCCCTGAAGTTTTATGTCTTCAATTATGTTGGGACACAATGCTGCTGTATAAAAACCACTGCGCATACACACTAAGGGATGCATTTACGTAACCGTGCAGGCTCAGGTCAGGTCTGCGCCTGAGGAGCAAGACCAGCAATCCCGCCGTTTTTCACGGATGCTGGGCAGAGTCCTGACAGCAGAGTCAAGTAATCTAAAAATCAAACTGCGCTGGCCCAAAGGCACAGAGTTTGTGTGCTCCAAACAGACATTAAACAAATACTTACAAATTTCTCCTTTGTGTTCAAACATTTGCTTCTCTCTGGTTGTCATTTGTAAAGTTGAAGTTTAGGGAATAACCGGGTTGACCCTCCATGGGCTAGTGACCCATGTTTATCTGGAGGGACCACAATACCTACATGTTCCTGCCTCCCTTGAATAAACATCATTCTCTCCTTATAAATATGTCCATGTCCCTCACTGCTTATCCAGTGACAACTGCTGTGTATTGTATCTGGTATTTTGGATACCTTTCATTTCACTGGCATTGGATTTTAATATTTCGTTAATTATTTATTTAATATTTAATGCTTGTCAAAAAAGAGGACCCCCCCCCAAGCCAGAATTATCTTCTGCAGGCTGGGTCCCTTGTAGTACAGGATTCCCCCCACTAGGGGGGTTTTCTAGGTGAGTGTTCTAGGAACCCATCTGTATCAGTGCACCAGCTGGCAATGTTGTGAGGAGTTGCATTCAGCTTCAGTGAATTTTTTAAAGACTTTTTCAATGCATTTGCCCATTTCACGTTGGGTGGTTTACGAGCGTGCCTGCCCACAGGTCCCCCCTCATATATTGGCAACGATAATTATATAACGATGATCCACTTTTACTTCAGTAGGCATGTAATGTTTTAAATGCCTTTCAAAGAACAATTTTACCTTTTCAAATCCTACCCTCCATATATTTACATGTGAAGTACAAATAGGAAGAAACTAGGATTTGACACAGTCTATATCTACTATTATTATTATTATTACTACCATTTTAAAAAAGTTATATATTATATATAAGATAATATACCAAAAACCAGGGCCTTAACTTTGATAATTTTTCTTATTCTTAGACTATCTTGGCTTAAATTATAAAGCTAATAATGCTGCTATATAATGCAATGATTAAATGGAATATACAACAAACACAATGAAATGAATGAAAGGCCGATCATACACTTTCCACAAAAAAATTTGTATCAGTTTTTCATGTATATGCTTGTCAAATTTCCTGTTTTAAATGAAACTTTGGAAATACTGTTTTTGCGCCCAATTGCTCCTGCAGACATGCTTGGAGGAGAGACATCTTCGTGGAAGAAGTGCAACTGGAGCATGAGGGGAAAGTTCCCTCCAAGACGGGGTCTGGGAAGGTCAGGGCGAGCCGCCGTTACTGAAGCGTGCTGCGTATTCCCGTGTGCGCCGCTTCTTTAACCTGTGAGAGGTGACCTGATTTTTCCCTCTCATTCAAGGTCATCACTAAACTTACAGAAAATCAGAACTAAAATAATACAAAGGAGCAACAGATAAAGGAGAATTTAGGCGCACATTTTTTCAATACCGCATTGGTTTAAAATAACTTACGATGAAAGGGTCACTTCAGAAGGGCACTGCTTGAAATTTAAGCAGGCAGTAATGGAAAGCGACAGACCTCAAACAATTTAAGTCTTTCACAGCTGAGTGGATCTGCAGTGACAGGAAGACAAGGATGTGCTAACTTGCCTCTGCAGGACCTTGGCTATTGCTTCGTAGGCTCTGGCCAGGTTGAGGTCATCTTCCAGCTCTGTGGAGACTTGACTGTAAGTGCCGAGGACCTAGCAGGAAGAGAGACACCTATTACCCAGAGAGCCCGGCCAGACTCACTGACGCTGCATTTCCTAACAGAAAAGATGAAAATGAATAGTTGTGTTTAATGTCTCCATAAAATATTTTTGTTTATTAAAAATTCATGTTGCTTTGGTTTATTTTTATCTATAGTATAACTTGTTTCACAGCAATCTCTTCAAGCCATGACAAGGAGGTCTTACTTTTGTGGAAATAATTCTTCTCCTGCACAATCCCAAATCTTCCAATTTATACAACTTAGGTGTGAATAAATAATTGAATGGCTTCCAACATTATTTTAAAATATGGGACTATTACTTAGGTAATAGAAAGCAGATTATAATATTCTACTATGGTAGCTTAAATATCACTTTTCTTTCTATAAATAGCTGTTTGAAAAGCATGAATTGAGGTGCCAGGCAATTTCTAAATCTATCATTTTATTAGATGCATATCTCACAGTTTGTGCACATATTCAGTATACACTAAAAATATTTCTTACAAATGTCCTTCATTACCAACAATCTCTTCAATAATCACAAGATTATGGCTGCCACCGTCAAATGCATGGTATTAATTTAATTTAACACTGACATCATCTGTATGGCATAATTTTCCTTTTTATTCTTTTTCCCTTTCAATGGCCAGGAGGAGGAAAGAAGCATCAAGCAAAATCTCCATTCTTTCTTCTCCCTTTATTGTGACTTGATCCAACCTATTACACACATGAGGACACAGGAAATCTCCAAAGACCTCTATGCAAATCCTTTTTGCACATTTTCTAAGACAGAATTGGTGATAATCATTTGACAGTGCTGGGAGAGAGTAGGGGTGAGGAAGGACATAAATGCGAGCTGAGGGCCACGGCCTGCCCCCGGCAGCTCAGAGGCTTTAGTGTTAGAAGCAGTGTTGGCTGTCTGTCTTTACTTTCTAAAAAGCTAACACCCGGGAAACGATTTCAATGTGGACGTTGTGACACCTCACAGAATCTGGGTTTGGTATGGTTACCAAATGAGTACTTGGCATACACCGATATTAAAACTTGCTCACTGACACCACTGACCCAGTGTTTTAATTCCCACTAAACCTACAACGTTCACATTTTTTATTCTTATTTTTAAGGCTTTTAAGAAGACTTGTACAAATCTGAGAATATTCTTTGTACACGGCTGTGCATAACTGAAAACACCTAGATTTAGTCAGATGAGATTTGACATAGACCTTTCTAAGTGAAGGGGAAAAAAACCCCGAATTTTGTGAATTTGTAAGAGGCTTCACTGAGTTCAAAAACAAAAATTTAGGAAGAGACTTTCTAGGATCTTTTCTGGTTTATATATTTTTATATGACACTCCAGAACTTTAAGATTGAATATTATATTTTGTGCCCAAAATAGTCTGTTTTTGGCAAACATTGTGACTGGGTGCCAGGTGCTACATTTGACCCTCGGGAATCTGAAACAGAGAAGTGCTTGCGGTTCTCTGGGCCTCACAGTGGGACAGACTCGGGACTGGGGCCACTGCGTGAAACAGCGCTGGCTGAAGGCAGGTTTCTCCAGGGCTCACGATGCAACACTCACCCGTGCCCCTGGCCCCCACGCGCCCCGAGGCAGGACAGTAACATGGGGGGGTCCAACTTTATCTTAGAGGTGTGAGTCCTCAGCCCAAGCATCAGAGGGCACTAATTAAAAGTAGGTGCTTCAGGGCAGAGGGCTCCTGTTCCACATCCGTGTGCCATGGCTTCGGCAAGCCACAGGGCCAGAAAACCCGCCCAGTCTGGGGGTTGTTTTGATTCTACAGACGCTTCCTCATAGAGCTGGATATGGAATGAACACTAATCTTAGAGTAAGAAGACTCGGTTTCAAGTCCCAATTCTTGCATGCCCAATATATTTGGGCCAGGAAGGCTCCCTGAGTTTAATTTCTTCAAGTGTAAGAAAGAAAAGCCACTTCTGAGGGCTGTTACAAGGCAACCATAAGATGACACGGAGGGCTATGTAGATTTTAGGACTGGGAGTCTCTGCGAATCTGCTCACCAGCCATCAGTGAATGAGTCCTGGTGCAAGTTTCCCCCGTCAAGGTAAAGACACGCATTTTATCTGGGCTCGAGGACGTTCCTGTATCTCTTTTACCTACAAACAGGAACCACACAGGCAGTGGGAAGAATATAGGGCAATAGTGGTCCACCAGGGAAATAGTTGGTGGCATGACATCTGAGTTCAGGACCCTGGTCAGGGCAGCTCAGGGGAATCAAAAGTTGGCCGCACTACTGTGGGAGGGTGAACTCAGGGGGGAGCGTAAGGAGCAGCCATGGCAAGCCTGGCAGGTGGGTGAATTGCCTAGTTCAACCTGAGAGGAATGGAAAGGCCACTGTTCAAACCAAAATAAAGAACCCCAGAAGAGCGAGTGAAAAAATAATGTGAGATTTTGAATTATATAGATAGGAAAGATGTCTTACACTGATCTTATAGTAAGCAAACTTATGCATGTTTTAAAATTGACAAGGTACAATTTAATTTGTAATAAATGTTAATTGATGAGATTCCTTGGACAAAGACAGGAACGTTTTTTCCAAGAATACTTCCAGTGAGGAAGCACGGTGCGGAATCTGAGGGACCCACTGTGCCTGACTGACGTGCCTGGCTGGCTATCCTGGCAGTCTGCAGTAGGTTGGAAATAAGTTCAGGGTCTGGAAGGTTTAAATCTAGCATCACAAATAGAGAGGAGACAATAAAGAATCTCAGGAACAAAATATTTTGATAAATGGAAAATCTGTGTCTTTTCATTTCATGGACCTAATCAAACTTGGTCAAAAGACAGAGGAAGAAACACTGATTAAGCTACTGTGCAAATATCAGTGAATGCCGAACTGTGCATAGGAAGGTTACCAAAGCTGGAAAAGTCAGGAACACACCTGATAAAATTTGAGAGCTCCGCACATGTTCGGTCCAATTGCTCCAATGATTTCAGTGAATGATGGAGATGAAGGTTGAAAACGATTTCACTAGGAGTTTTAAAGGCAAAAGACTCTATGTTCCCACTAGAATAGAATGTATATATGTACTTGGAAAGACATTTTCAAATAAAGCCCAAGTTCTTAAAATGAAATCATTTCTATCTGTCACCTAAAAACAAAATTAATAGAATACTTAGCATAAAAATGAGAATGTGCAATGGAATAATGTTGGCAGTATGCTACACATTCCCTGAAAAAAATTGTGCTGTAAAATCAGATTTTAAGAATCTTTTACTTCTTTTCTTGCAACAGCCTCCAAGAGAGCATTGGACTTAAGACTGTAGCCTGTCAACAAAGTGAGTGGGACATGCAGATACACACCGACCACTGTTTCTGTAGGAAAAAGAGTCCAATTCATAGAAATTAGCAGGTAAATAAGTCCTAGCATCTAGCCCACTTAACATGGACATTTTGTAATTTTGAAAAAAATTTTAATAAACCCTAATTCTACTCTTACATCATATTTTTGGTATTTCCCCCCATGATCCAGTACATTTCCTTCTCTAGTTACCACCCTCTCCCCCTGCTCTCAGTTATTTCAATATTGGAGATCAGCTGGGACTTTTACTCTGAGGGCATAGACCAGGCTCTGGAAGGGCCTTATGGGATAATTAATCAAATTTCCCTCTGGGTGTTCAAATTTTCTTCAAATATCATAGACTTTCCAGTCAGGCAGGTCTACTACTGAGCTGAGTGACATGTGTCAAATGACTGAATGCCTCTGAGTCTACTTCCTCAGGTATGAAATGGAAGTGAATAAAGCCCACCTTGAAGGGACATTGTAAAGTGCCAATAAGAGGAGGTATTTAGAAGGCTAAGGTCCTTCTGAACACAGAGGCTTCCATGATCGCATGGGTCACAGGCTCCTGAGAGTAGCCCTGAGTCAGAATTAGCTGCCAAAATTGCATATGTTATTTTTTAAAAATCTAACTAAAAGTTTAAAGGTAAAAAAATAGTAGGCCTGAAATTTATAGAATGTATGTACATCTTCACCTGTCCTTCCTCCCACCATTCCTACAAAAGCTGGAAACACAGTTATATATAGGACACTTCTGTTAGCTAAACAAACAGAAAGCACATAGGGTAAAAATGAAAATATGTTTCATTTCATGAAAAAAAAATAGTACGTATACTAAGGCTTTGAATGAAGCAACTGCTTGATTTTCCCCTGTCAGTTCACCAATGGGGGTGGGGGCTGCACCCCCTGGGGATATCCCTGGGGGTATCTGGCAATGTTGGGGGAAGTTTTAGGTTATTATTCCATCAGGAGAGGTGCTGGTGGCATCTAGCGAGTTAAAAGCCAGGGATGCTGCTCCATGCCTCATGATTCACCCCCCACCACAGGGCGTGATCCAGATGCAGATGTGAGTAGTGCTTGTACTGAGAAACCTTCATATGAAAAATGTCAACACTTGGAAACTACCCCCTTGTGAGGACAGCCACAGGATCTTTGGAGAGTTACAGGAGAACACTATTGGTTAAGATGAAGCGAAACCTGTAACTTCCACCGACTACCCAAGGCTGTGTTTGTGGGAGAACCCAAACTGGTCCCCCTCCCATGTGACAGTTTTTCCAATGCTGAAAGATGGCTGCTTTCCCTCCTCAAAGCCCCCAGACGTATAGGGGCATCCAGGATGCTCTGGGGCAGGTGAGAACAAAGCCCCAACTGTTTAGCTGCATCCAAACATTTTATTTCTAGCTTTTCTACAAGTCTATGAGTTCTTGAAGAGTTTAAATAAACCCACCTGGACAAAAAAGTGTCTGTAAACCATCAAGGGGCATCCATCAGATTAGTCTGTAAATAAAGTTATGAATCCATTGTCTAGGGTGCACTTTTTACCTCTTTCTTTCTTGCCCACCATTAAGAGACAGTATATCTAACACTTTGTTATACGTCCCCTACACAAACTCCACAGTGTGGCACTTCATCGTGAAAGCTCAGCACTGGACTCAGAAAGTGCCTTACTTTGAGGAGAAA